GGGGGCATTTCTTGGCCATTGTGTCCCGCAGCACTGGGAAGGCTCATTCCTAGGTCTAGGGAAGGTTCCATTGATAGGCCACTCAATGTGCTGTTTCTAGAGCAAGCCTTGTGAGTAGCAAAAGTCTTTGAATCATACCTGTCTTACTAGCCTCTTGGTCCCAGAAAATATTCCCTCTTGTTGCTTCTTCCCCTATCTAGAGTTACATTATTACAATCATTAATAGCATATGGAACTGCATATCAACATTTTATCACAGGCTCAGTCACGGATTTAGTAACCTACAAAATAATCTTCTGAAACAAGCAACATAGAAAATAATATAGCTATAGCTAGCAGTTAGTAGTCAGGTCATAAGTAAAAATGATAAGTCAAGAACTTTCATTAGGTAGAGCAGTATACCCCAGGTCTTTTGACTTCATTTCTTAAATGACTATAACCAGGTGTTAACCTCCTGGTTGTATATCATGGAGCATCTAATCTTTATCTGAAGACTGCTTACAGAGATTAGCTTTAGAAAAAAAACTTATAGTGTCCCTTTCAATAACTTAATTAAATCTTTTAGAAATAGAACATAACAAGAAACTATCTCAGAAGTTGAGTCTTAGTAAACATTAGACTTTAAATTAACAAAACTAGAAACTTAGTTTAACAATGAACAAAACTTAATATTCAGTGAAACAATTTTTTTCTTTATGAGGGCATTAACCCTGTAGCCAGGGAAGGCTTTAACCCATCAAATAAAAATGAGGTTTGTCAGGGATCTGGGAAAAGCCAGGCAGCCATCTTGGATTTCCCTTCGCACTGACTCTTTGATTTACATCTATTGTTCACCCATTTTTAATTCCGCAATTCAGGAGCAGACTATGGCCATGTTTTAAGGACATCAGGATGGCAAAAGTCTAACCATGAGGGGTTATTTTTTTACAAGAAGAATGAGCTTTGTCTACATGTACCATAATCTTAACTAATGCTGACTTACTTTACCAAAGTAGCAAAAGATTTTAAAAATGAATATAAATCACTTAAATGCAAAGAAATTCATAATGTCTTCTTGAAAGCTGCATTGTAAGAAACCTCTATTCTATTAGCATAGAAAGTAGACTAAATTACAGTCTGGTACCAACTTACCAGAGAGCAAACAAAACTTGTTCATTGGTTAACCTTAGAAAAATCTTTTCCATAAATCATGAAGTAGCAGTATTCTTACAAAGGCATCAGAGTGAAACCATAGAAGGTATGTTTAAATCTGATTAAACTGCAATTGACAATGTAGCTTGGTCATTGCTGTGACTTGTTAACACTTTAACAGGATAACTAGAATTATAGTTGACCACATTTTATTAGGGCATATCAGAGCTATATGAATGCCACATAATTTTAGGATATCTATATTAGTAACATCCACCATATAGTATAATCTGAGAAGATTTATCACCCCTTCAACAGTACTTTCCATGTAATTTAACATGTCCAATGAACCCAGGTAGTTTAATAACTCCCTGGGATGCCTCAGGGGCCCTCTGAAGCATTCCAAAGTCAGGTAGAAGTTAAGTTATTTAGGAAGTTTTGTTGACAAATATCAAAAGGGGTTATAACAGTCAGATAAAATCATATAGATCACTCAGAAACATTATATTCACTTAGCCAAAGTAACAAAGAAGATTTCAAAGGTAAACATAGATCACTTCAGAGGTAAAGAAACTTAAAATCCATCATCAAAGGCAGCCCAACATCTCAAGAAAACTTGTATTTATGCACAAAACTCTTCCCTTGGGGTCCACTTTCCATGAAACCTTCTTATCACTTTCCGTACCCATTACTTTGTTCTCCCACACTGAAACAGCCACCTGTAAGTCAGACCTACTTCCTTTACCCTTCGTAAAATGTAATTTCATTCCTCATACCTTCTTTACTGAAAATATACACCCTACTTTCCTTAAGCAACCAAGAACTTAAGCATTCTGTACATTGGTGAACATAAATACCAGTGAAAAGTTCTAAAAAAAAATTCTAGAGAACATCTCAGGATGACTCAAGCATTATTCATGAATAGTCCAAAATCTCTAGTTTCTCTGTAAGAGGAAGTTAGTCCTTAGTAATGAATGTTTCAGAATCTTCTTTTATTTGGAAATCACTTAGCTATTCAATAAACTTCCATCACTTAGTTTAGCACAGCCCTAGAAATTCAGGTTACCACAATCTAGAGGATGTTTCAGACAGACATTTCTAAAGTATAATTATTCTTAAAAGTTTCTCTGAAAGCTCATATCTCTTTTACATTTTCTTTGAAGCTTTGTTTTTTTTTTTTTTCCTTTCCTAGAGGTACTTTCCTGGTTGACAAACTTGTAACAGATATAAAAATACAACAACATTTAACTCATAATAAACCTAGGGACAATGAAAATACTGTGCTTAATGAGTCTTAGACATATCTATATTAGATTACCAAACAAACATTAATACTCTATATTTAATATTGAATATTTCCCAGTTTACGTGAATCTGAAATTCATTTAGGTTAACTTCTCTTCTAGTTAGAATTGTCTGATTTGTAAGCGCTTACTTTCCTTTAGGCCAATTAAATTAGAACTCATTTACAACTTCAGCAATATTATTAAAAAAAAAAAAAAAGAGCGCACACTGAGACATATATAAATCCAGACAGACAGAGACCTCATAGTTTCCTGCCTGAGATTTAAAACATCTCTTTGACCCTTTTTTGTTTGTTTGTTTGTCTGGCCTGATGTTCTGATTTGCCCAAGGCTAAGTGAGGTCTCAGGCAAAGTGGGCAGTGTATTTCAAGGACTAGGAAAGGGTTAACTTCAAGCTTTTCCCTAGGCAGGCCTTTAAACAAGCTAGTTGGTTTTAAATACATATGCAAAAAGAAAGGGTTTGCAGTTTCCAAGGGAAGGAAAATTTCATTTTAACCAATTTTCTCCAGAGTCTAAAAAATATCAGGGTCATCCTGTGTCAAAAAGCCATTATTCATTTCTGTAGTCTTAGTTTAATAGCTAAAATATAGACCAAATAATGCTCAAATTGACTCTGACATCAGGGGCATTTCAGCTGATAAAAATTTTGGACTATCCCTCTGGTAGGAAGTGAGGTCTTTGTCCCATGAGGAGAATCTGAAGGGTTAAGGGAATTTGTAGGAGTGCGGGAAGCTTGGTCCTTCCCAGCCCTGAGAAACAGGAGTACTCAGAAGGGAATTCTTTAGGATGTTCAGCAGTGGGGGAAGCTTGGTTCCCTCTCCACCTGAGAGATAAGCTTCCTTAGAAGGGGATTCTTTAGAATGATAGGACAGTTTTTGATCCTTCAGGCTTCTGAATATAGGAGAAAGACCCGGACCAAAGGGAACCTCAGAATCCTTTCCTAGAGATCATGTGGATATGAAAGGTCGAGTAGGGGTCATCTAGGAAATTGATGGAGAGAGACAGAGGGGGACAGGAGACAGGGAGGCAACAGAATGCAAGGAAATTCTAAATCTTTTCCCTTCCTTTGGCAAAACCTGGTGTGCCACTCAGAGGCCATTTCTGGGGGGTCCCCCGTTTGTATAGGAGCCAGGCCTTTTGAGGGTCACCATTTCCCAGTTTCTGAGAATGGAGCCAAGGGTTGAGTCTGAGAGAGCGTCTGGGATGTAACAGAACCCACTCTTAGCCCTCCTACCATAGAATGGGCGAACTGAGAGTCACTGGCTGACAGAAAGGCGTCCCTTTTCCCCCAGTGGTCTCTCGGTGTGACTGACGGCACAAAATGGCCGAGCGGCCCAACAGTCGCGTCCAACAGTGAGACGAGACCTGTGAGAGCCCTGCAGCGAAGCCACCAGGTGACACGGGCAGAGAAAGACAGAGATTCCCGGGAGCAACCAGGTGACTCACCGATTCGTGATTCCCTGAAACGAGGAAGGCACTCTTGGGATAGCTCAGAGGCAACACCCAGGCTCCTGTAAATCAATCCAGACCAAAACGGAAAGAAGTGAAAGTGACAGGGAAGAAGGCTGAGCAATCTGCCTTGCAATATATCCAGGAGGCGGTGGCCCGGGGACAATGGTCTCTGTTTTGCTTCAACCACTATGTGCCTGACATGGTGGACGGAAGTTGTCTTGCAGGGGGTTAGATGCCCTTGTGGCCTGATCCGCTCTGTGTCCCCCCCATCCTCACACGGGAGTCTTTCTGTGGCAGGCGCCCTAAAGGCTTTTATGTCTCTGACCTGCGCCCACACAATATTGGTTGGCATAGTCCTCACGTGCAAAAAAGACAAAGGAGAGACCCTCACCCATTCAAGCGGCAGCTACTTTGGGTGCAGCGGGCAGTGAGGCCTTTGCAACACACCAGAGGGTAACCCTGGCCAGAGTTCCTCAGTTGCTGCCACAGCACTTACTCTTGGCAGAGGGTCCCTATGAGGAAGGAGAAGCGAGGAGGCGGGGAAGAGACTCTAAGTCCCCAAACAAGCCACCAAAAATGTCATGGTCTGGGTGCGAGTTGGAAAAGAATTTCCAGACATGAGACAGTAAGGGTCTGGTTTCTTAGTTTCTGCATTCTAAGACCCTCCTTGGTTTTATCTGCTCTTCACTCCTTGGGTAACCACAACCTTGGCAGAAAGAATCATTTTAACTATTAAGTATATACTCTATATCTTTCTGATGCTTTTTAATCAGAGTCTTCCAAATACAAGAGAAATAACTAAAAATCAGTAAAGTTGCTCTTGTACCTTTTGGCACATATTTTAACAAACAGCCACTAATGGCAGAGCTTAAACTTTATTTCAGTTTATGTACTTTAGAATTTAGCTAATAAAACACAGAGAGATTCACAGAGACAACGCTAAGAAAAGTTGATAGAAGTTTCTGTAACTGTAAAGAATACTAAAGACAAGAAAAGGTTTAGTCACTCAGTCATGTCTCACTCTTTGTGACCCCATGGACTCTAACTGGCCAGATTCCTCTGTCCAAGAAATTCCTAAGCAGGAATACTGGAATGGGTAGTCATTCCCTTCCCCAGAAGTTCTTCAAAAAACAAAGCAAAAAGAAAAGAAGAAGAAGAAAAAACTGATCAAGTCATGTTAATATTTTCACACATACAGTCCAGTTCAGTTATCAGTCATATCCCACTCTTCACAATCCCATGGCCCACAGCACGCCAGGCCTCCCTGTCCATCACCCACTCTCGGAGCCTACTGAAACTCATCTCCACTGAGTACAGACATACACTCAAATGGGGCTATATGCTCATTAGGAGGAAGAGAGAAAATGTTTCATGTCACTAAACTCAGGTAATTTTGAATGGATTAATATGTACATAATGTGAGAGGATGATATTGTTTTATTTGCACTAAACTGTATTTTAATTTTAATACAGTTGAGCATAGATTAGGACTAATTAGATTCTTGTAAACATTTTGTAAAATACAAAACTGTGATGAGACTCTGTGATGTGAGCATGGAGTCTACTGGAAAAGATGAGACCTGGGCTTGGGATGAAAACCCCCACTCCCAAAACCCAGCATCTCTGCTAAACACACCTGAGTGTTCATCTTCCAAAGCAGAAAGAAAGTAAGAAGACATGGAGTTTACGCCATTAATTGTTGAGAGTTTAGGCACATCCCTCACTGATTCTTTCCAAGACACTTGTTCAAGTCAAATGGAAAAAACAAATTCATGGCATGGAAATCTCACAGAAACACCTAACCAGTGAACATGAGTCATGGGGCAAGAAGTCCATGGAGGAATGCATTATCACCGCACGGGTATTTGGCACTATATGGAAACTCTGACCTGAATCTATCATTAAAAAATGTTAGCTCAGGAACTCTGTGATGACCCAGTGACTAAGACCCTGAGCTCCCAATGCACAGAGCTCTGGTTCTTTCCCTGATCAGCAAACTAGATCCCACATGCTGTAGCTAAAAGTTTACATGTCACAACCAAAGAACCTGAAAATTACAAGGATGACTGAAGATCCTACCTGCCACAAGAAGACCCAGTGCAGCCAAATAAATATTTTTAAAATGTGTTGTAAGCAAATTTCACTTCATATATGACTTCCCTGATCTGTAGCCTAACGTTGCAGTCCTTTAATGGACCGGAACCTGGTGGTCCGGAGTCGACAATAAGAAAGTAAAAGACAGAAAGAGGCTGATATTCCCTGGTTTATGCAGAGAACCTATAAAGCCCTTGACACAGGGCTTGTACCACTCACGAAGGCACAGAGCATCCTCTCGAGGAAGTCTTGAAAGCCCGGGTGAGAAAGCGAGCTCGGCAGGTTTCCACGCTCCAGAGAATTAGCCTGAGAGGGAGAGAGAGAGAGTGAGAGAGAGACAGAGAGAGAGAGAGAGAGAGAGAGAGAGAAAGACACAGGGGCCCAAGCTCTGATGGAACAAGGGTGCTTTAACGATCTTTGTGTGAGCATATATAGGCTGTTAAGGAATTTCTTTGACAATAATAAAGGTCAGAAAACCAAACGTATAGTAACCATTATCAAGGAAACAAGGAATTAACATTGGGCATAAGGTCAGAAGAAAACCCATATCTCAAGAGGGATGGTCCTGACTATGCACATTTACTGAAGGGAAAGAGTTTACTGAAAGAAATGCATGCATGAGATTCATCTCATTATCTCAGTTCTGGGAGCAGGACTGAACTGGTGTTAGAGTATAATATGACTTTGACACAGCAATATTTTCTACCGTAATCCTAAGCCAAAAAAAGATGAGAAATGACCCACAAACCACTTCAGAAACTATTCTGATCTGGAAAAGAAATGATAAAATAATAAGAACAACATTGGCATATTTATTTTTGAGTGCTGTATTTGTATGACACAGGATGAACTGTCTATCAAGGAAACAGGGAGTATTTTTAAAAAGCATACTCTGACCCAAGAGTTCTTCAGTGGGACAAATGTGCCATTTCTTTTAGCAAGCTTAACTTTTTTCTTAGTATTGTTAACAAGCTTCTTTTTACTAGTGGTGTGCAAAATTCTGCTCCATGAAGGACCACTTTGAATAGTAACCAAATACAATAGTCAGGTAAGCATTCATGCTTACTTTTGAACTTCAAGTGTTTTACACATTTTACAGTTCAAATATGATAGCATCCTCAGTAGAAACAATCATTTTAACTATTTAGGATATACTAAATATCTTTCTGAGAGTTTTGACAGAGTCTTCCAATTATGTTGCTGTTCCACCTTTTTGCAAATATCTAGCAAACATTCCTTAAACAGCTTAAATTTACTTCACTTTATGTATTCTAAACTTTAATAATATACACACAAACACATAGGGACAACTCTAAAGAAAGTTCATAGAAGTTTCTCTAACTGTAAAAATACAAGAAAAATAACTGATCAAATCATATGAATATTTCCAAGCATACATATATTAAAATGGAACTATATATTCATTTCACTAAAATGCAACAATTGAAGGCCATGGAAAATATGTAAGAACAGTTTTCAAAGGTTAGAATCTATAAAAATATTCATGAAATGATGATGGCTTTTAAATAAGCCCTAGGTTTCTGCCTGCACACACAGACGCACACATAAACACACTTAAGGTAAAAGCAACCTTCCATAAGTAACAGATATTTTGGAAGAAACATTTTTAATCCTCCTTTCTTAAAAAAAAAAAAAAACTCATGTATTTTAGAACTTATGATAAAACAAACAGTTACAAATTGTGCATGAATGCGTGTTAAGTCACATGAATCACGTCTAACACTTTGCAACCCCATGACTGTAGCCATCCAGACTCCTCTGTTCATGGGATTTCCAGGCAAGAATACTGGAGGGGGTTGCCATTTCCTTCTCCAGGGGACCTTCCCAACCCGGGGATCAAACCCAGGGCTCCTGCATCGGCAGGCGTGTTCTTTACCGCTGAGCCACCTGAGTTCACTGAAAACAGTTCTTCCTCTTTAGTAAGAATGATCAGAAACACATGAGAAACAGTCTACATTTTATTAGCAAATACACCATGACACCTATGTAGAACACATTTCCAGAACTACGTGAAGAAACTGGAAACCTTTACTGAAGCACATAAAGTCTGAAAACCACAAGTTTTACTTGGAAGATGTGGTGACATGAAGACTTCAGGGACTCCAAACTCAGAACAATTCAAACTCAAAACAAACATGGATATTTCAAGTGTAAGTCTCAGCTGTATTTAGGAGAGCCAACATAATTTTGAATTTAAAAATGAAAAAAAAGTAAATAGAGGGAAATTACAGATTTCTATAATTACAATCTGTAAATACATAATTCTGCCAAATTACAGATGAAATTATAACTGTATAGGCTAGTAAAACTTCAAAATAATTGAAGCAAAATAATTACAATGTAGCCAAAGAAGCTCACCTAAAGAGAAACTTAAACATTATTTTGAACAATAAAATAGAAAAGGTAAACACAACAAAATATTTTTTAATACTGCAACAGGTGAGGTATGCCAAAGCAACAACAAAAATCAGAGGGGGAAAAAAAGTCAAAGGGCATAAAGGAAAGATTTAGGTTTCAGCGTTGTGTAATAAAGAATTTAGGGGCTTGCCTGATGGTCCACTGGTGAGAAATCTCCCTGTCAGTGCAGAGGACATGGGTTCCATCCCTGGTCAGGGAAGACCCCACAAGCCTCGGAGCAACTAAGCTAGTCTGCCACAACTGCTGAAGCCCACACCCTCCAGAGCCTGCCAGGGATTAATACAAAGACTGAACCCGTGCCTTAGAGCCAGAGCTCCACAATAAGATAGTGGCCCCTCCTAATCACAACAGAGAAAGCCCAAGACCATCAGCAAAATCCCAGCATGGTCAAAACTAAATAAATACCAAAAGAAAACAACAAAAAAAGAATTTGGCAGGCTTTGGTCCCCAGGTTCTGGAAGTTTGTTAACTACTCTTGGAATTTAAGTTTTTTTTTTTTTTTTTCCTCTCAGAATTTCCTTAGTGACTGAAGTAGCTTTATTACTCTCCGTGGGCCCTGATAATTTATGCTAACACATGACCTACGGTCGGCCTTTGGTTTAATAATGAGATGACTCAGGTTGTGAGGCTGAGCATTTCACAAAGACCAACGAAGTGACTAGAGATTTGGGGCTTTGAGCCAAGTGGGCTGATTAGCCCAACCTCTAAGGAGGGGAGAATGCTGGAGATGTTATCAATCCCACCTATGTAGCTAAACCCGAATAAAAGCTCGGGACTTAAAAGCTTGAGTGAGCTTCTCTGCCCGGCAATACTCTGTTTTCTGTCACACCGATATGCCAGGAGGGCAATGGGTCCCTTGGGATGATGACTACGGGTAGGTTCAAACAAACCCGTTCAGAAGTCAAGGAGCTTATCAAGTCCAAAGAAACAGCATTTCAGGAAAGAGAGAAAGAACAAACAGGGGCTATGCCTCTTACCTGGGAACGAGTCATTTCTGACTCTGCTTTCCTTCTCCTCTGGTCTTCCTTCTCAGGTAAGATCAGTCTTGGGAAGTGACCCGAGTGTTGAAAATAGGCTGTTCAATACTTCGAAAACCACAGCGAGCTCCCTGCAACGCAGCCCCACACAGAGGGAGGATCTCAACAGGTACAAATCACAATCCTCCACGGCCACTGGCACAGCAGGGATTCTGGAACACAGAATCAAACGAGGGGTTTTTAGTTTTATTCTTTTCTTCAGAACTCGCGGCCCTTCCTGTGAAAACCACGCGTTCTAGGCTGACCCTCCCCTTCAAACCTTAGGCGAGACCCTGACCAAACTCCATACAGAATAGAGCCTCCTTCACCTCTTCGTGGATCAGGGGCCTAGGGGTTGGGCAATGCAGGACTTTAAGCAGCGGTCTCTACAAGCTAGAAGGCAGAACTGTCAGAGAAGGACATGGACTCTAGAACGATGTTAACAGGAAGCGGACGTGGGCCCCAGGGACCCGGCAGCTAAGCTAACGGACCTCAGACCTTCTCACGGCGATGCGAGGACACACTGGGACGGGAAAATGGGGGCGGTACCTTGAACGTCCACAGAGACCCCCGAAATCCACGTGTGAAGGACAACAGGCCGTGGGACTACGACATCCGGGTTTTAAACAAACAAACTCACAAAAGCTGTCGCTCATTTAAACTCAAGTCCGTCTTGCCGGATACTGCGCACGCGCGGGCGGAAAATCCGGTACAGAGGAGGGTGAGTGCGCTACGCCGCGGCCAACGAGAGGCGACGTAAGGGGAGAGGGTGGGACGAGGCCAGAAGCGCAGGTACGTAGGGGCGGGCCCTGTGGGGGCGGAGCCTTGCCTCCCCTCACCCCAGCCCCAGTCCGTTTTGGGTCTGTTGGTCATTCTGTCCAGCTATGCTTCCTTTCTCTGCCTTTTGATGCCTTTAAATCTCTGACTTCCTCGGGAGCAGAGCTGCTTCCTACCTGTTCTAAGTTAGTGTTTCACACAACTTAAGGCAAAAGAGAAGAATTTTGAGAGCTGCCTCTATGGGAAGCCGAGATGTTTTCAGCAAGTTGAAAAACGGGGAAAATTCAAAAGCCCTTTGTGTGAGTGTGTGAACATGGGTGTCTCCTCAGTGACGAAAAGTAGACTGTAATCACTCATATGATCCTTTGGGAGGGAGCCTCACTAATTGTAACCAGAGACCTGCTTACAACAGGGCAGCTGGCTTTTCTCTTAGGAAGTGATTCCAGAAAGAAAGAGGGAGACCGGAATCCACGTTGTCCTTTATGAGGTAACCACCGAAATGACATACCGTTACTCCTGCCAGAATCTGTTGATACATAGATTGGCTCTGTTAATTGTTGCTGCTGCTGAAGCAACCAATTGCCCTGCTTTCTCCAGGACTAAACAAGTTTCCAAGAAGCAGGACTTTTTGTGCTAAAACTGGGCACGAAACTAGGCAAATGGGGTGCGTGGATCACATCGACTTCTCTGCACTTAGCTTCCCAAACACCCTCCCCCACTGTTGGCTTTCTTCCCTAACCTCCTCCTCTTCATCCAGTCCTTGAAAGGATAATCTGGAGAAGAGGTAACACAAGGCAGGAAAAACAGTGAGAGGCCCACAGACAATTGTATCCCAAGAGAGTATACCTTTCTCTTTAAATGTGAAATTAGCAACTTCCCTTGTAGTCCAGTAGTTAAGACGCTGTGCTTCCACTGCAGCTTATGTGGGTTCAATCCCTGGCAGCGGAGCTAAGATCTCAGAGTTGAAGATTTAATCATTTCTTACACAGAAAGCATTAATCATTACAATATAAAGGAAAATGTATGTCAAGTTAATAAATTACTTATTAAAGAAAATGTGTTTAGGAGCTTCCCCGGCAGTACAATGGTTAAGACCCCACCTTCCAATGCAGAATTGGAATTCTTTCCCTAACTGGGGAACTAAGGTCCCACATGCTTTGCAGTGTGAACAAAAATGAAAATATGTTTCTTTTTTTTCCCCCCATTTATTTTTATTAGTTGGAGGCTAATTACTTTACAATATTGTAGTGGTTTTTGCCATACATTGACATGAATCAGCCATGGATTTACATGTGCTCCCCATCCCGATCCCCCCTCCCACCCTGAGCACTTGTCTCATGCATCCAACCTGGGCTGGTGATCTGTTTCACCCTTGATAGTATACTTGTTTCAATGCTGTTCTCTCCTAACATCCCACCCTCGCCTTCTCCCAGAGTCCAAAAGACTGTTCTATACAGCTGTGTCTCTTTTTCTGTTTTGCATATAGGGTTATTGTTACCATCTTTTTAAATTCCACATATATGCTTTAGTATTCTGTATTGGTCTTTATCTTTCTGGCTGACTTCAAAAAATACGGGATGCTTCATGAATTTGTGTGTCATCCTCGTGCATGGGCCATGTTAATCTTCTCTGTATTGTTCCAATTTTAGTATGTGTGCTGCCAAAGCGAGCCCAAAAATATATTTCTTAAGTATCTCTGAGTGGGGACTGTCGGGAGCCAGGACACAAGATCCCATCCATGACAAGGTCATGATGAGAAAACCTGACAAGCAAGGCAGACCAGGATTCCAGGGATTTTGAAAAGCTGCCCCCAGCGCTCACCTTATAGATGATACCTGTCTTTCTGATGCTTGCTTTAATAGACTACTCCCTAATTTCTGTGACACAGGCAGAAGGCCTTTCCCGATCTCTTTCCAAATAAGAATCAACTTAGAACTTTAATCAATATGTCTCCTGGGTGGTGGTACCTTATGAGATTATCCAGGATGAAAGGAGTGTTTCAATTTAAACTCCTTTGCTAGCATTCTAGTTTGTTTAGCAAATGCATCCATTCCCTTGGTACTAATATGCATGACTGCTCATAATACCCTAATCATCAATAGCATAAAGAACCTGATCATATAAAGGCCCTAATAGACATAGAGTCCAGGGAGTGAGGAAGCCCTATTAGAAAACACAAGAAAAATTATTCTAAAAGTGGCTATTGGGTTAACATTTGCTTGCTGTGTTTTTGGTCTTAATGTGCTAAGGTTGTGCAGTGGAAACCATTGTTAACATAGTTAAAGGTCTAGAAAAATAAGAGCTTAGCCCTAGTGTGGTAACAATGAGACGGTTGTTAACTGTTAGCCAGGAGTGCTAGGCAGAGGCTGCCTCACCGATGCTGCAGAGTCTGTATGGGGTAAACCTCTTAGATAAATTCAACTGACAACTTCTGCAAAAGAATTGGCCTTTGTGTTAACAAGGTTATATTTCAACTATGTTGTGACATACTGTGACATACTGCAACATACTGTTGCCCTATGAGACTACAACATTTCTGTTGAGGTCACCACAGAAATGGAAAATAGGTTTACATTCACCTGACTCACATAAAATGACAGTAGGCCCCAAGGCCAGAAGATAATGTACAAGACCCTCATAAACAAAGAAGTATGCAGAAAACACCCTGGTTTCCTGAAGGACAAGTTGATGTAATGTTAAACTATCTTCCCCTTAGAAATGTACTACCTTAGGGTATAAAAGCTACGGTAAAAAATAAAGCATTGCCAGACTCTGCCGCACGCCCCAGTCTGGTTTCTCTCTCTCTTTCTCTCTCTCTCTCTCTCTTGCCAATGCCGTTAATCCTGAGGGTACCCCTGGATCCTGCCAGGGCTGGACCCTGGCACTTCTCCAGGGGGTCTTTCCAACCAAGGGATCGAACCCTGGTCTCCTGCATTGTAGGCAGGTTCTCTACCATCTGAGCTACCAGGAAGCAATAGAAATACCTTCTCTAACTCTGGAATTTATCAAGTGCTTAACAAAGACATTGTTTCCTGCCGGGGTCCAGCCTCGGTCGGATCCAGGGGATACCCTCAGGATGAACAGCGTTGGCGAGAGAGAGAAAGAGAGAGAGAGAGAGAGAGAGAGAAAGAGAGAGAAGACACATGAGACCAGCCTTGATAGGGCCAAGTCTGTCTTTTACTTTTTGACAACCGGTTTTATACCCTTTCACAGAACGTTTCAAGGTACAAGATGCTTACTCATGATTACACAGGATTAGTATTACATCATTTTGTTTTTTAGGAAAAGCAGGATGTTTTTTGCTTTCTAATTCTATAGTAATTCTTAGCACATGATCTTCTGGCCTTGGGGCTATTAACATTTTATGCAGGTCAGGTGAATGTAAACCTATTTTCCATTTTTATGGTGACCTTAACTGAAAGGTAACAGTCTCATAGGGAAATAGTACAGAGTAGAATGATATACTTGTTAATACAAAAATTAATCCTTCTGCAAAATTTGTCAGTTGCATTTATCTAAGAAGTTTACCCCATACTGACTCTGCGACTTTGGTGAGGCAGCTTCTGCCTAGCACTCCTGGCTGACAATTAACAACCATTTCATTGTTACCACACTAGGGCTAAGTCCTTATTTCTCTAGATCTTAAACTGTATTAACAATGATTTCTATAACACAATCTTAGCACATTAAAAGCAAAAACACAGCAAGCAAAACACAGCAAGCAAATCTCAACCCAATAACCACCTATAGAATAATTTTTCTTATGTTTTCTAATAGGACTCCTTTACCCCTTAAAAAGGCTCCATGTCTATTAGGGCTTTTATATAATCAGGTTCTTTATGCTATTTTATGATTAGGATATTATAAGCAATCATGCATATTAGTACCAAGGGCATAAAAATGCATTTGGCTAACAAACTACCAGCAAAGTAGTTTATTTTTATTTTTTTAACATTTATTTTTATTTATTTGGCTGCATAGAGTCTTAGCTGTGGCATGTGGGATCTAGTTCCCTAGCCAGGGATCGAACCCAGCCCCCCTGTATTAGGAGCACAGAGTCTTAGCCACTGGACCACAAGGGAATTCCCCAGCAAAGGAGTTTAAATTAAAACACTCCTTTCACCATGAATAATCTTATAAAATACCACCACCTGGGAAACTTATTGATTAAAGTTCTAAATTGATTCTTATTTGGGAAGAGATCGGGGAAGGCCTTCTGCCTGTGTCACAGAAATTAGGGAGTAGTCCATTGAGGCAGACATCAGAAAGACAGATATCATCTTTAAGGTGAGCGCCAGGGGCAGCTTTCCGAAATCCCTGAAAACCTGATCTGCCTTGCCTGTCAGGCTTTCTCCTCGTGACCTTGTCATGGGTGGGATCTCGTGAGCTGGCCTTTTCGAAACCCCTGAAAACCTGATCTGCCTTGCCTGTCAGGTTTTCTCCCTTGTGACCTTGTCATGGGTGGGATCTCGTGAGCTGGCCTTTTCGAAACCCCTGAAAACCTGATCCGCCATGCCGTCAGGTTTTCTCCCTTATGGCCTTGTCATGCGTAGGGTCTCATGTCTTGGCTCCTGGCAGTTTCCTACTGAAAACATCCATAGTTGGCTGATTTGGGTCAGACCATTCTCCAAAAGTAACTTCAGAAATGGGTTTCAGATGGCAGCTATCAAGCATAAAAGCATAGTGTGTCATATTCTCTAATTTGAAAATATTCTCAAAATTTATAGTTGTATAATTTCATTTTACAAAATAAAAATCATTTTTTAAATATGTCATTTTCTTTAAATGTGATGTTTCAGAAATCTTGATTTCCACTTAATACTTTTAATGTCACATTAAATAACAGGTCAGTTTATGATTTGGAATTAGTCATGCTTATTTTGTATGTCACACCAGTTTATCACACATTATTGTCTCTAAGTATCATAGTTTAGGTTATAGTCTTCCATGACTGGTAGATGTTTTTTCAACTCCTGTCAAAAAAACAATTAGTATTTTTGTCACTAAGCAAGTAAAGAGCTTAGAGTGCATTTGGAAAACAAAATTTGTCAAAAAAATTTTTTTAATATTTCAAAATTTTATTTTTTAATTGAAGGATAATTGATTTACAGAATTTTATTC